TTTGAATAAAAAATTTCAAGAGGATAGAATCCAGGTATAACTCAAGGATATAATAAAAGGCTTAAACACTAATATTCCATGGTCATAATTTATTCCATTGGAATCGTGCGATTCCAATGGAATAAATTATGACCATGGAATATTAGTGTTTAAGCCTTTTTATTATATATATATGGAAATAGAAATGATGGTGCCTATTCTGAAACCATCATAAAATCTAAGGATGTGCAATTAGTAATCATAAATCCCTTCAATTACCTTAGTGTATGCATCCGTTATAGCAAATTTATTATACGACGTAAGGAAATTGAACATAGAATAACCTGTGCTAGCAGTAGTTACGCTTCAGTCTGTAAATAAAGTCAGGTTCTTAGCCTCAACAGTGGATATTTTCATATGAATGTCACGTATAGGGCCAAATCCATTCGGAAATATCTAAACTCTCGATTCTATACAACCATTTTCTCAGATCAATGCTTAATAATGACTGAACGAAGTCTGTAGATCCTAGTAAAACGTATTCTTCTTCGAAACTTGTGAACTGGCACTACACGACATTAACAAAGTCAGTCAGTTAAGTGTCATACGTGATATACTACTAAGCTCACACACACACACACACACACACACACATACATACATACATAAACACACACTTGAGGACTTTCAACAGCAAAACCAAATGACCAAACATTAGAATTTATTTTAGAAAGGCGTCTTAACCGGACCAAGAACATTTCAGCATACGCTCATATAGCGATTTGCTAATTGTAGCTTAGATATGGCATAAGGCCGAAAGTATGGAGTATCTAACTTACTATTCATTTTAATTGATCGAGCGAAACAAGCATTTTAACCATTACACCACGTAGAAGTGGCCGAGCATCTTCCTCTATAAACTGTCTATCTATTCCCGATTAATGAAACTTCATATGCGCCATGCGTGATACACGCTTAGGCGATCATGTATCTTTCAATACATGACTGACGAGGCAGATTTTTTTTCCAGCAGTAGGTTGCCATTTCTTTCTGCGGTAGCCAACTAAGGTTAAAGAACCCAGTCTCACCTGCTATCCAACCGATGGTTGAGAGGAGATGCATTCATAACTTTCCCAAGAGTATTTGTGCGTAAGTTAATATAACGAACTCTACTGGAATTCGAACTCTGTTCTCTCTCTCACTTCAACTCTCACAATGAAGGCCGAATGTTCCCTTAAATTTTTCATGGCAATATTAGCCATTTCCTTTTAAGTTAAAAGGAAATAGCTAATATTACCATTAACATTACAATTAGGTATATTAATTTAGTACCGAGTTGGACGACATTTTCCATTTAGAGCAGCTTCTCTTAGCATATTTTCGACAATCTTCTGGAATTTGGGTACATGCTGTTATTAAGGCATCCTGCAATTCCACTTTCGTTGACCGCACATCTAATATTCGAATCATCTTCTCCACCACATACGAAACGTGCTCCATAATATTGAGATCTCGTAGGGTGGTTCTGTAACATAATTTATAACATAATTTACCATTTATTTTTTTATTTTTATTATTTATTTTTTGTGTGCCATGCTGCGTTGTTCTGTTGGAAATGGTCACCCAGGGAATGGATGCACAGTAGTCATAAACTCAGGCATGTGGTCAGCAGCAATACCTCTGTATGGTGCGGCATTTAATCAGTCTTTTAGTAGGGCCAATGTTGCCAATGAATGACAAGATTGATTGACTGATTTGTTTAACGGCATATCAACTCCTCATGGTTCATTTAATGCTGAAATTTAATTTCCTTGCGAGCTTTGAAGCACTCGTAATATGATATACGTGATTATGCATTCACAGTCGTATACATGTTTTTGTCGACATAATTACTAGAGGCGATGACATGTGCGTTTTTTGTTGTTTTGTTGAAGTTATATATTTTTTTTAAATACAGTATGCTTTCTTTATGAAACTAGGATATTATACGGATTAATGTCATGAAAGACTTCTTTTATGTTGGTTGTTTGGTTGGTTGATTTTGTCCAGCGGTATATCAACACCTCTATGGGTTGTCTATTGAAGAAATCTAGATATTTTGAGCACAATTTTATGGCTTCAATTAAATATATTTAAAGGTGAATTAACCTACAAATCACTCCATGAATGTTATGATCCTTGTTCTTAAAAATTTGTAAACTGTATAAGGTCTTTTTTTAATACGCAAGTACTTTCAACTGTACATTCAGTCATCTTCAGACATGGAAATTATTTTCTTTTTGGTAAAATTCAGGTAGCATCCGAGACGAAAAAATATAATGCGAATCGAAATATGTTTTTTTTTTTTTAAATGTGCTATTGTTAATTGTTATTATATTTTTTCGTCTTGGATGCTACCTGAATTTTACCAAAAAGAAAATAATTTCCATGCCTGAAGATGACTGAATGTTGAAAGTACTTGCGTATTAAAGAAAGACCTTATACAGCTTATGATTTTTAAAAATAAGGATCATAACATTCATCGAGTGATTTTTAGGTTAATGCACTTGTAAAATTTTGTTAGCGAAGGGATTTCGCCATTTTATATCATTAATTTTACTAATCTACTTTTTGTATGACTGATTCATTGTAATACAAATTGAACTGCACGACATATCTGATATATATATATATATATATATATATATATATATATATGTTGATTGAATAAATTATAAACATTATGTCTCTTATTTTATCATAATCCTTTCATATTCGTATATTACAATTGATATATACAACTGATATATATATATATATATATATATATATATATATATATATATATATATATATATATATATTCAATGTATATTGATATATACAACTGATATATATTCAATTCTAATATACGGAAAATATTCGTGAATATGAAAGGATTATAATAAAAATAAGCATTCATAATGTTTGTAATTTATTCAATAATAACAGGTCAGGATCGATTACATTACAAGCCTTTCTAAGAAACCGCCTTCCAAGTTCCGAATCCACTGAATGCATTGATCTAATAGATGAAATGTGTCGATCTAGACAATCTTACATGTCTGGCGAGGCTCCCAATAAGGAAACATTTCAGATCATCAGGAGTACGACAATACCAACGATCTTGCTTTCCCTTTTGAGACCAACGTACTGATAATGAAGTTTCAATGCTGATGACATAGATGTCCATGGTTGGGATAAAAATGATCATGAACAGAAAATCATCATGCCCTACGAAGTGTTCTAAGAAATAAGACTCAAGATAAATCTTTCCAAAACAGAATGTAAGTTCCGGAGTAATGGCGCCTGCCCTGAATCCATCATAAATATACACAATATGAAATTAGTAAATACTAAATGCTTCAGATACCTAGGTGTATGCATCAGCTATAACAAATTAAGCATAAGAGAAGGAAAATCGAACATATAATAGGCTGTGGCAGATGTTTCGCCTAATACTTCAAATTGCAACGAAGTCAAAGCAACGATGTGAAAACTCGAGTCATATTCTTAAATAGCCTAGTCAGATCGAGTGTTATTAATGGATGTCATGCATGCCGCGAAACTTGTTCAGAAATATGTAAACTGTCAGCTGTATACAAATGCTTCCTAAAATCAATAATAAAAACACCTTTGAGCGAGTGAAAACTGAGGGTCTTAGTAAAGATCATCCTTCTTTGAATATTGTGGAATGGCGCTACAGAATCACAAACAATGACCTGTACAAAATAACGGAAAGTACATACCTTGAGTACAACCACCAGCAGCAGTAACAACTAAAATGGATAGCACATGTAACTAGAAGAGAAAATAATGACATAATCAAGTTTTTAACATTCCACACTACTTCCAAAAAGGTTTAGGAAGAAAATTCCATCAATACCGGAAAGAGCGATAACAGCTACGCGGCTTAAGAAACCTGTACTGGCTGATCGGTCATTCAATGCCAAATGTTTCCTTGTAATATTACCATTGCCATTTGCATTTTGTCAAGGATTTCGAAATATATTATAGGAGCACCAGACTAGATATAGCAGAAGTATTAAATGTACAGGCGAATGGTAGATTTATAAATCATGAGAAAATTTATAAATGCTCAAAATGTATCAATTTGCGATTCACAGATGTAATATATGACCGTTGATGGCAGTTCAAGGCATTAGACGAAACATTCTGGTAGAAATTACAAAGTTGAGAATACATTAGTCAGAAGCGTAAAGCAGATGCCCAGTCCAGATGCACATACCAGATGCCCAATCCAGATGCAGGGACAAAGAAAGTTCAGCAGATTAGAAAGTCAGAAACAATTTCTGCGTTATAGGTGTGAAAATATGTGAAGTTAAAATGGCATGAATGTGTATTCGTAATATTTCAATTTTCCTTTCACTAGTCTTTTCCTACAAAATAGCAGAAACGGACGAGCATTGACTCATATTCACTCATATTTAAGTACACAGACACACGCGCACACACACACATACTTGCACGTACTCATGATCGCACGCATGCGCACTCGCTGGAGCACGTTATCTCGCGTTATGTAAATGTCCAAACTTGCTGATTCTTCTGTCAATACTTTGTCGCTTCGACGCATCAATTGGCAACAGTGGAAATTCGATAGATCGCGACTAAATTTGGTTAAACAATTTTCCATATCTTTACCCGATTTCTTTCCCTGTTTCCAAGATATTCCCTTAAGGCACCACAGACAAGAGTCGTAACATGGCGTGAATAAGCGACAGACGATATAACCATTTTGATGAAACTGTCAAAAGGGCATCACAATATTTACAGATTTTTTCTCAATTTCATGCGAAGGAAGGTATATATTAATTGGGTACATATTTTTAAATTATTTTACACCGTTATTTTATAACCTAGTATATATATATATATATATATATATATATCAATTAATCAATCCCTATTTCACTGAAGCTTATCTAACTTTTTGATCATGACCTTGTATCTCTCATGGGACTATCCATCCATATCTGTTTATGTCTTCTATCTATCTATCTATCTATCTATCTATCTATCTATCTAATCATGTTCATATCTATTTCATCATGTTCATATCTATCTATCTATCTATCTATCTATCTATCTATCTATCTATCTATCTATCTATCTATCTATCTGCTTTAAAAAGAAAGTAATGCTCCAAGGATAGTTGAGCAAATGGAATTTCAATAATTAGAAAAATGATAATAGAATATCTCTAATGTATACCCACGTTCATAACATATGCGGCGTCCGGTCTTTATATTTTTAACAATAGTTTTAACAAACTGTAAGCTGGCCCTTTGAGAGTTCGACTTTCTTTTGTTAGATTCTTGCTTTGGGCTGCACAAGAGCTTTTTAATTAGAAAAGAAAAGGTTATTCTTTTGATGTACTTTCAATAGATTTTGCATTTTTTTTTTCGAATCTTTTCTCTATTCCATTATTATCTGTCTTTTCTTTTTCGCTGCCTGTTTTGGTTCACTTTCCTTATTTTGCTCACTGTTCTTCTTTTATTTCCTCACTTTCTTATTTTCCTGATGTTTTTTCTTTCTTTTTTCTTTCTTTCTTATTAAAATTATTTTCTTCTTTCTGTCCTCAATTTCTTTCTAATATATTTGTCTTCGACATTGATACGTCTTTCTTGGTTTATTTTTTCTTTTCAAGCTTTGATTTATTTCACTTGTTACTTTTTTCTTTCTTTCTTTCTTTCTTTCTTTCTTTCTTTCTTTCTTTCTTTCTTTCTTTCTTATATAAAATTACTTTCTCTTTCATTTTTTTTCCTTAATTTCTTTTTAATATATTGTATTGGACATTTACAATTTCTTTCTTTTTTTCCTTCGTTCTTTCTTTACAATTTTCGATTTCTTTCACTTTTTACTTTTAATTTTCTTTCTTTCTTTCTTTTTGTCTTTTTTTCTTTCTTTCTTTGCAAACTTTGATTTCTTTCACTTTCTTACTTTTATTTCTTACTTTCTTTCATTCTTTTTTTCTTATTTAAAATTAGTTTCTTATTTCTTCAATTACTTTCTAATATATTGTCTTCGTCGTTTACACATTCTTGCTTTATTTGTTTTTTTCTAAGCTTTGATTTCTTTCACTTGTTACTTTTCTTTCTTTCTTTCTTTCTTTCTTTCTTTCTTTCTTTCTTTCTTTCTTTCTTTCTTTCTTATATAAAATTACTTTCTCTTTCATTTTTTTTCCTTAATTTCTTTTTAATATATTGTCCTGGACATTTACAATTTCTTTCTTTTTTTCCTTCGTTCTTTCTTTACAATTTTCGATTTCTTTCACTTTTTACATTTAATTTTCTTTCTTTCTTTCTTTTTGTCTTTTTTTCTTTCTTTCTTTGCAAACTTTGATTTCTTTCACTTTCTTACTTTTATTTCTTACTTTCTTTCATTCTTTTTTTCTTATTTAAAATTAGTTTCTTATTTCTTCAATTACTTTCTAATATATTGTCTTCGTCGTTTACACATTCTTGCTTTATTTGTTTTTTTCTAAGCTTTGATTTCTTTCACTTGTTACTTTTCTTTCTTTCTTTCTTTCTTATATAAAATTACTTTCTCTTTCATTTTTTTTTCCTTAATTTCTTTTTTAATATATTGTATTGGACATTTACAATTTCTTTTCTTTTTTTTCCTTCGTTCTTTTTTTACAATTTTCGATTTCTTTCACTTTTTTACTTTTAATTTTCTTTCTTTTTGTCTTTTTTTCTTTCTTTCTTTTGCAAACTTTGATTTCTTTTCACTTTCTTACTTTTATTTCTTACTTTCTTTCATTCTTTTTTCTTATTTAAAATTAGTTTCTTATTTCTTCAATTACTTTCTAATATATTGTCTTCGTCGTTTACACATTCTTGCTTTATTTGTTTTTTTCTAAGCTTTGATTTCTTTCACTTGTTACTTTTCTTTCTTTCTTTCTTTCTTTCTTTCTTTCTTTCTTTCTTTCTTCCTTTCTTGCTTTCTTTCTTTCTTTCTTTCTTTTTTGCTTGCTTTCTTTCTTTCTTGCTTTCTTTCTTTCTTTCTTTCTCCCTTTCTTGCTTTCTTTCTTTCTTTCTTTCTTTCTTTCTTTCTTTCTTTCTTTCTTTCTTTCTTTCTTTCTTTCTTTCTTTCTTTCTTTCTTTCTTTCTTTCTTTCTTTCTTTCTTATTTCAAATTACTCTCTCTTTCCTTATTTCTTTAATTTCTTTCTAATATATTGTCCTGGACGTTTACACTTTCTTTCTTTCTTTTCGAGCTTTGATTTCTTTGATTTGTTACTTTTTCTTTCTTTCTTTTTTCTTTTTCTTATTTTTTCTTTATTTCTTCCTTTCATTTTTTTCTTTCTTTTTTATTTAAAATTAGTTTCTTCTTCCTTATTTTCTCAATTTCTTTCGAATATATCGTCTTTAACATTTGCACATTCTTTCCTCCTTTCTTTGTTTTCTTTCTTTCTTCCTTTCCTTCTTTTTTCTTCCTTTCCTTCTTTCTTTCTTACTTTCCTTTCATTATCTCGTTCTTCCTTTCCTTTTTTCTTCCTTCCTTTCCTTTTTTCTTCCTTCCTTTCCTTTTTTCTTCCTTCCTTTCCTTCTTTCTTTCCTTATTTCTTTCTTCCTTTCCTTCCTTCCTTCCTTCCTTCCTTCTTTCTTTTCAGGCTTTGATTTCTTTCACTTGTTACGTTTCCTTCTTTCTTTCTAATATATTGTACTAGACGTTTACACGTTCTTTCTTTGCAAATTTTGATTTCTTTCACATGTTACTTTTTCTTCCTTTCTTCTTTGTTTCTTTCTTTCTTTCATTCATTCTTTTTCATTCTTTCCCTCTTTCTTTCTTTCAATCATTCTTTTTCATTCTTTCTTATTTAAAATTATTTTTTTCTTCCTTATTTCCTAAATTTCGTTTGAATATATTGTCTTGGACGCTTGCACTTTCTTTCTTTCTTTTATACCCCACCCCCAAATTCCCAATCCACTTTTCCAGTCATTGTAGTCTGGTTAAGTAATCCTTGTCACAGCAATGACAGTTATCGATCTATTCAAAATACTCAGGTTGAGTACATCGCTGAAACTACTTAATGGAATTTAAACCGCTCTAATTATTAAAATGCCGTAGGAGAAGTGAAAAGAAAGATTCACACAAGACGACAGATAAGTAAATTAATGATTGAGATCATTCATTAATGACTACACTCGTTCACGCGCGCGCACACACGCACACACACACGCGCTCTTACACGCACTCACACACACATATACATATATATATATATACACATACGTGCACACAAACACTCACATTCCTCTCTCTCTCTCACACATACACACACATGTATATATATATATATATATATATATATATATATATATATATATATATATATATGTGTGTGTGTGTGTGTGTTTTTTAACTGCATGGTTGTCTTTGACTTTAATTAGAACGCACTTTACAAGTAAATGCCGGAAAACACAAAAAGATTGTCTCCAAAATGAATTTGGCGCTAAATTTACATTATGATGAATGTTTAATGATTTCCCTAGGGTTAATGACCTCTGTTAACGAAGAGGATGTTACCAAAATAATCACTTCCGGGTTGTGAGAAGTAACTGATTTTCATTTATGTCATTATGAGACAATAACATCTGTGGTTTGAATGCTTCATTTCAGGCATTTTATTAAACGCGAGACGGGAATTCGAAATGGAATCCGCTTGTGAAAGTGGCTTAATGATTATATGAATCACGACGCACGATTATAGTGATTAGCTAGGTACCTCTACGAAAATGCTAAAAAATTAGCATACAGTGATGAAAACCTGCTCCAAACGTAATGAAGACATAGTTTTATCGTCAAAATCGTTGTTATTATTAAGAGGAAAGATGAAAATATTTTTTGATTATTTAATTCATTTTTTTATACTTTTTTTTTTAGAACATTCGAAATTTTGATTAAAATTTAACATAGAAAATTATTGTATTAACATTTAACATAGAAAATTTTGATCTCTTTTTTTGCGGTGACAGACATCAATTTAGAAATTCTTGCAAAAATCAAATAATTGTAGAATGTTAATGACATTTTCAGGACTTATTCACATGAATGAAATTATTTAAAAAAAAATTTATTAGAAAATCTTGGTAAAAATTTTTTTTTACATGAGTTTCATCCCCTTTATTTTTATGAAAACTTGAGAAATTAAACGAGATAATTTTACTGATTATATTAGTTAAAACAGAATTATTTGAAGAATCTAAATCACCGAATAGCTTTTGCAAAATCTAAGTCGAAAAAAAAAACACAATAAACTAAGACATTATTTAATTAGAGAAGCTTTTAATTGCTTTTTTGAATGATATATATTAAAGATAATATTGCCTGAAGAAAAAAAATCGTCGAAAAATGAATTATTACAAGATTCGTTTTCATTTTCTTCAATTTTAAATTGATTAATTTAAACAGTTTTAAAATCTTTTAAAATTCATTTTCAATGTGATAAGTCTTAGAAAATATTGTTATTAAGTAAAATTATATTTACTAATTATATACCGTAAAGCTTATTACAATCAAACGACCCCGAATATTTTTAAAAGAATTTCGATTTGCTTTTGTATGTGTGATTACGTGCAGAATTTCTGAAGTATGGATGTACAAACCAATAAATCGATCATTAAAAGGTCACGTGTTTTAAGGGTTGTCCCACTTTCTGGTGAAAAAATACTCCTTATGAGCTTTATCGTCTGCTCAATAATACTTAACTAGGAACATTTTCGGATGTCAATAAATCGATTAACACGTCATAAAAACAAGATCTCGTAGTTAAGAAATGCTTGTATACAACATTTTATACTATAAGTACCTAATATTTGTTTCAAATTAGATTAATTTAGCTTTAAATTTGCTAAGTTTCCTCAAATGACGTTTCAGAAATATGTATTTTATTTTTGCAAGATTTTCAAAACCGAGAATTAACTTGTTTACAAAGGTGTCAAAAATGGCTGTTTTGATCGAATTTGCTAAAAAAAAAAAAAACGATTCCGTTCAATATAATTTCTGTTTGAAAGGCACCACAGAGTATTTTGCTTACTGGGAATAGTAAATTTAATTTTTTAGCTTTCAATTATGGAAAGCTTCAAGGAAGATTTTCATTTTTAAAAATTCATTTTGAAACTTACGTATACCGAATTAGTGGAGGTATCTACATAAAACGCATCGGAATCACATGTTATAAAAATGGCAAGCATCAAAGTGTTTATCAGTCACTGAGTACTGCAAACGGTATTTAAATAACAAACAGGGTATAGTTGGATACACCGAATGAACTCTAGGATTTTGCTGGTAGTATGACGGTTGTCGGTGAGATAAGTGTAAACAACCAAATCGAGTTCAAATTCAACCTGAGTCAATTTCGCAGTGATACAAGAGGCACAAAGTCCTTCAACTACGGGACAAATAGCAGAGAAAGACTGGGTTCTCTAGATTTAGTGGTGTATCCATCTTAGGCGAATGAAGATCCTGACGTTAAAACGGGAAGCGTGAAAAGGTCTTTTTTTTTTTGTTTCGAATCTTGGTCTGTCAATTCACTGTAATGTATCCTCTAGCTAGATCTGGTTGGGGAAGATGAATGGGGTAGTTCTGGACCTGCAAATGCATTCTTAACCTATAATCAATAATACAAACTCTCTCAACGTCATGTAATCAACCGTAATCAAGTAATCACTATACTTTAAGAGGTTTTCAAACGAAGCCGTTGAGAGAAACCTGTTTCCTTAACATGAACATGTAAGAGATTTATAACAGTTTTGTATATGTATCAAAACGAAAGAGCATATTCATATTTAAAAAAAAAAATATCTATCTGAACAGGTGGCATACACACACATATATATATGTGTGTACGTATATAGATCTATCTATATATATATATATATATATATATATATATATATATATATATGTGTGTGTGTGTGTGTGTGTGTGTGTGTGTGTGTGTGTGTGTGTGTCATTTTTAGCTGAATGGTTGTCTTTGACTTTAATTAGAACGCACTTTACAAGTAAATGCCGGAAAACACAAAAGACTGTCTCCAAAAGCTTATCAAGTTTTCTCTGCTGTTAAGATAAACTATTTAATAGTAAAAAGAATCTCTTCCTACTCTTGGTGGGAAAATACATCTATTTGTAAAAGATTTCCTTTCTATCTGCTGATGGGAGAAAATATCTCTTTGTAAAAGATTTCCTTTCTATCTGCTGATAGGAGAAAATATCTGTTTGTAAAAGATTTCCTTTCTATCTGCTGATGGGAGAAAATATCTCTTTGTAAAAGATTCCCTTCCTATCTGCTGATGGGAGAAAATATCTGTTTGTAAAAGATTTCATTTCTATCTGCTGATGGGAGAAAATATCTGTTTGTAAAAGATTTCCTTTCTATCTGCTGATGGGAGAAAATATCTGTTTGTAAAAGATTTCCTTTCTATCTGCTGATGGGAGAAAATATCTGTTTGTAAAAGATTTCCTTTCTATCTGCTGATGGGAGAAAATATCTGTTTGTAAAAGATTTCCTTTCTATCTGCTGATGGGAGAAAATATCTGTTTTTAAAAGATTCCCTTCCTATCTGTGGATGGGAGAAAATATATGTTTGTAAAAGATTTCCTTTCTATCTGCTGATGGGAGAAAATATCTGTTTGTAAAAGATTTCCTTTCTATCTGCTGATGGGAGAAAATATATGTTTGTAAAAGACTCCCTTCCTATCTGTGGATGGGAGAAAATATCTGTTTGTAAAAGATTTCCTTTCTATCTGCTGATGGGAGAAAATATCTGTTTGTAAAAGATTTCCTTTCTATCTGCTGATGGGAGAAAATATCTGTAAAAGATTTCCTTTCTATCTGCTGATGGGAGAAAATATCTGTTTGTAAAAGATTCCCTTCCTATCTGCTAGTGAGCGGAAATATCTGTAAAAAGATTCCCTTCCTATCTGTTGGTGAAAGAAAATATCTCTATAAAAGATTCCCTTCTTATTTGCTGGTGAGATAAAATATCTGTTTGTAAAAAGATTCCCTTCCTATCTGCTGATGGGACGAAGAGGGCCTTACATATTTTGTTGTTGTTTCAAAAAGGCACTCGTTAACTGTATTTGGTTAAGCGCCACATATTATCAAGCAAATTGAGACACACTTTGATAATACGTTTTCAAAGTGGGGTGTTGAATCTTATTTTAACGCTGGAAAAAGTGAAAGCGTTACAGAATGTTCTCAATTAATATATCAGTCAAAATAAGAAAGACTGATTATTTAAAAACAATGTGTCATTATCTATCGTAAATAATAATTAAAATTTTTCTGGATTGCGTGCATCTAAACTGTATGTGAGGCAAAATATTATTTACATTAGGCAAATAACTCTCAATTTTGACCTTTATCGCGACGAAGATGATTTCAAAAGGTGTGCAACGTGATATTTGCATTATCAGCACTATTAAAAATAACAAAAATGTATGTAAAGACCATTGGGAATGGATGTGGATATAGAATTGGTGCCAAATTTTAATTATTTATAGAAGCCATATAAGTTTACTTTCTAAATTGATAAAAACAGTGGCCATAACAATTACAATAACAAATAAAAGTAATAAAAGAAAATTGTCCACACAAGTGATTACAATAAAAAGGAAAATACCAATAAAATGTTGTGTATTACTGGCTTAAACTGCAACACAGACTATTATCTCTATTAACTATAATTCTGAAATGCTGCATTTATATGCCTTTGAAGTAGTCATTTTGTTGAGCTAATAGAAAATATATGACAAACGACTGATATACATTGAAACAACTACAAAGAAAGGAAACACCGTGAAAAGACTTGATGTAAATAGATGTCCATGATGGTTTCAGTCGCGTGTCCAATGGAATATTTTTGCTTCATAATTAATGAAAAATAGTAAAATAATGTCAGCAGCACTTTACAATAACAAGGCATGGTCCGATATCAAAGAAGATAATTGGATTTTTTACCATAAATAGAGAACAGAAAATAATCATTTTAGAAGCTCGTCCCAACAGAGCGATGATTTTTGCTTAGGTATGGTTCATCTTTCTTCTGTCTGCGTATCTATCTATCTATCTATCTATCTATCTATCTATCTATCTATCTATCTATCTATCTATCTATCTATTTCCAGTCTTTGTTTCTCTCTCTCTCTCTGAATTCCTCTCTCTCTCCCTCTCTCTCTATCTGTCTATGTTTCAAATCTCTCTCTCTCTCTCTCTCTATATATATATATATATATATATATATATATATATATTATATCTCAGTCTGTTTCCTATATCTATCTAATATCCCTGCCGGTCTTCTATCTATCTATCTATCTATCTATCTATCTATCTATCTATCTATCTATGTCTGTTTCGAAGGTCTCTGTCTCTATCTCAGTCTCTTTCATATATCTTTGCCCGTTTTCTATCTATCTATCTATCTATCTATCTATCTATCTATCTATCTATCTATCTATATCTATCTATCTCCAATCTTTATCTCAGTCCTTCTTTCTCCCTCTCTCTCGCTCTTCATTCCTATCTCTCTCTCTCTCTATCTGCCTATGTTTCAAATGTTTATTTCTGTCTATATATCTCAGTCTGTTTCCTATATCTATCTAATATCTCTGTCGGTCTATCTATCTATCTATCTATCTATCTATCTATCTATCTATCTATCTATCTCCAGTCTCTCTCTTAGTTTTTGTTTCTCCTCCGTCTCTCTGCATTCCTTTCTCTCTCTCTCTCTATGTTTCAAATCTCTCCCTCTCTCTCTCTCTATATATATATATATATATATCAGTCTGTTTCATATATCTAATATCTCTGCCGGTCTTCTTCTATCTATCTATCTATCTATCTATCTATCTATCTATCTATCTATCTATCTATCTATCTATCTATTTCCAGTCTCTCTCTTAGACTTTGTTTCTCCCCGTCTCTCTCTGCATTTCTCTCTCTCTCTATCTGTCTTTGTTTCAAATCTCTCTCTCTCTCTCTCTCTCTCTATATATATATATATATATATATATATATATATATATATATCAGTCTGTTTCATATATCTAATATCTCTGCCGGTCTTCTATCTATCTACTTATCTTTGTGAATGGTACTTAAAAGATGCCAGACAAATTTAACATTATAATCTTTGCAGTCCATATTTATCTAAAAGACAAGAAAACAATATAAAACTGACAGAAGAGAATAATGCTTAAGAACAGTATTAAGATGCCTTCAATTTTTTTCTTATTGAATTTACTTTCTGAATGTAATCTTTCTATTAAAGACGATATTTTAATGTAATTAATTTAATAACTAGAAAAAAAATCCGTTTTTCTGCCAGGTTGCTAATCCATTATGCAGTGGAATGTAAACACGTCATTAACACAGTTCAAATCAATTACAGACGCGGGAAGATAAAATTTGTAGCAATCTTCTTTTACAAATGTAATTCATCATTGAAAGAAAAAAAAATAAGAAGGAATTCTCATAAAGAAATTCATAAAGATATAGAAAAACACGGAGATTGAATAAAAGAAAATTGTATAAGCGTTTGACACTGCGTGCTCGTCGCATAGGGTATACGATTGGCTGTGTGATTCATTGGCTGTGTGAATCACCGAATAATGAAAAACATTGCGAGTGTATATTTGAGTATTACAGGCCACCGCATTGACAGGACCATTAAATATGCAACTATATACGTTTATATCTTTTTTTTTATGGAGAGGTGACTGTACTCAGTGTGTAAATGTGATTGTGTACATATCTAAGAATGAACCCAGACGAAGGCATTTTAATGGGTATATTCAAAATCATTTAGCTGAATACTTATGAACTTACGTAAGAAATAGAACATTTTATTAACGTTTTTTTCTTCCTCTTTTATTTAATGTGTCCCTTCATTATGTAGACGGTCACAGTTTCCAATTTTTGTAGTTCTGAGAAATGCTTTTACAATTAACATCACTCACAAGCACTGTTTTGCCATCCACACTCATTAGGTAGGTTGCTGACCGTTTTTCTCTGTCCTAAACGTCTTCAGTTTGCGCTATAAGTATTAAATTTTCCGAACCTGTTTTTCTCATTATGCGTTTCCAGAAATTTCAATTTGATTCTAAGTGCCGTTTTTTGTTCTAATTTTTTTTAAAAGCTTTCTCGTTGCTTAAATGTTCCGTCCATAGTGTTATTAGCATTTCCGTTGAAGCATGGCGCTGTTGTACCAAGTCTTCACTTCATGTGTGGGGGCATTGTCCTGCATCGTCTGCTTTATAGGAGGATTCGTACAGAATAGAAGTTCAGCACTTTTCTTTTGTTTGTTAATCTTCGGTTTCCGCCTTGAGATGTGTATTCGCTATTCCAATACGACTTCGGATTTCAGTGTCACATTTTCCGCCGGCTTTTCTAAAACTTCCCGAATAGTCTTCGTTTGATTTAATTGTTAGAAAATGATAGCTCCAGCTTTTTTTCTAAGTTTCAATGACCTATTCTTTTATATTTTTGTCTCAGTTCTGGCTAAAAAGTTTTCTTTCTTTGAGAGCGTCGATACATTGGCATTGGATAAGATTTTTGATCAAACGTTTCGCCGAACGAACATTTTATTAAATTACCAAATAATGGTTAGATCTGAATTAGAACTAAGTTTATTAATTGGAAAACTTTTACATTTCGTTAACTATTGTTCATCCAAGAGCCCCTCGAGGTAGCGCGTTATAAGGGCGTACATGGAGTAACAAGAGGATCATTCTCTGTCTTTTCTACAAATATTTTCATGGCAACTGTTCTGTGGAGCTTTTTTTCCCTGGTGCCCCGATTTATATGAATTTAACTGTGCTACTAGACTAGCATTTAGGTCCCACCCTTTTACCGTTGAAATATTTAAATGTAACCGCCACTTCTACCCCAACAGTTTCTTTTCTCGCACTTCCCGCCTGTGGAACTCCCTTCTGTTTACTTGCTTCTCTGATAACTACAATCTTCAAAAATTTAAATGCAATGTCAATCAAAATCTTCTGATGTCTTGAAACCCGTTTATCTCTTATCATTTCCTTATTCCCCCCCCCCCATACACATTTTTTTTTCTCTCACCTTCACTCTATGTAACCCAGAGCGAACCAGTGGAAAATCCGCCTTGCTTGTGGTGAAATGCTTTAAAAAAGAACAGATAACGATTAACCCTCGAGATGCATCATTTAAGATTGTTATAATCAGGGAAGCATTCACTCGGGATTTCATTCCACATTGCAACAGTCCTGAAGAAGAGCTTCTTATTAATGGAATATAAAACAGAATGAGTTCAATCAGTACGTGGTGTTGCAGATCTTAGCTTTGAAAGTGTGGATCGCTGTAACCAAAGCATATAGTTTAGTCAAACTATTTTTTTACGAAATTTTTACAGTGAGGTTCACCTTGTACAAGGCCCGAGGGCCAATCGTGGTAAAAGGTCACAGAGTAAGAGGCACAGTTTATGTGAATAGATGCGAAAGATAACGGTTGACACTAGACTCGAGCTGGTTAAGACTGAAATGATTGGGGGAAACATCCTCTTGTGAGTCGTTTCCACAGAGCAGTGGTTCGCGGGAAGAAGCTGCTTGAGTAGAACTTACATCCAACCAAAGGAATATGGATGGTTTCCTCCAATTTGAGTGACATAGCGAGTCCTAACCGTGAAGTTTAGAACTGGCGGAACTAATGCAGTTGATTCGAACACTTTCTATGGAAGTAGCCACAGAGCAGCGAGAGATTTGTTATATTCCGTCCAAAAACAACAAAAAGCGGCAGAGTGGCGAGAGGCTACCTATCTTTCGTTCGTAGGAAAGGATTTGTATGGTGCAAAACAATTCAAGACCAGCAAGGCCGCGCAAACACTTTTCAACTTTGTCGTGCCTGGAACGTTAGGATTAGACAGTTCAAGCCCAGATGTGGCAGCAGGACTCTATTTTTGGTCTGGTCTCGCTCTTGAAGATGGTAAGAAGGGTTATGCATTTTTCAGGTGCGGTAAAGGGAAAAGAATAATATCCAGAAACATTTAGCGATATATCTTCAGGTTCGGTGTGAGCTTGAATTCCAATAGACGTTCCAGGCAACGAGCCATAAGTCAGGGTACAGCCATTCATGGCTGGAGAAAACTCAGGCTGTGTGATAGAGAAGAAAGGACGCTTTAACTACACTAGGAACAATATGTGGCTTTATGAATAATTAACGATCGCGTTCTGGGAAAAGGCGTGATTCCACTTATCATCTCTGGCATCATAAGGGATTTGTTTTTTGTTGTTGGTAACATGTAACCCAATAAAATCCGCCGTGTGTTACTTGTAGAGAAGAGGGGCAATGTTGAGTAATCCTCACTTTTCTGAAAGATGTCATGAAGAGGAATGGTATCCCGATAATCTAATGGGTTATAGAATAAAGTCCTCGTCCAATAAAAGCAATAAATTCATAATAATAATAATAATGATAATAATAATGATAATAATAATATAATAAT